CTCTCCTCAAACCTCCACTAAACTTTCCTACTTCTCTTACCTTGGTAACATTACTTTTTAGGCCTCTAATGAAGCCAGAACCATCTAAATGGACTCCCAGTGATCACCACCACCACCACCTCTACGCACCTGCATGCCTACATTTATAGTTTGTTTTTCTACATATAGACCTCCCAGAACTATAGTCCAAGACAAAACCTCTCCAGGACACTACCCCAACAAGTCTAATTTCCTGTTCTGACATTCTTTTCTAACCTTCTTTTGTATCGTATGCATTAAACCAAATATTTCTGAGCTACTTTTCAATCTTTTTAAAAATCAAATGTGTTCCTTGACAAGTTTACAAATGTGTATAACACATACCGACCACTCTTACCCCACTGCCTCCTGTCTTCCTACTACCTGTTTGTACCCCTCTCTCCCACAAATCTTTCTTATTTTGTTAACTATTCGATTTGTTTTGTGACCTGTTGAGATCTAGACTGATCCAAAGCTTTCCCAGAGACCCCGAAGAAAGAACAAAAGGAACCTAATTCTATGTCCTTGTCATGGACAGACTTGAAGGACCATCTAATCTAGAGCTGAAGCCTGGACCCCAAAAGAATTAAGGTTTCGGTTTCTGAGACCTCGGCTTTTCTCCATGAAGAGGGTGGAGTTATAGGCCCCGAGTCCACTGTGTGCAGGGTATGTAGTGCTTTTGAGATACCCTGTGTTCCCTTTGTGCGACATTTCCTCCTGCTGACTTCTTCCCATTGTACGATAGTTTCTGCTGTCTCTGTCCCATTTCTCCCCTGGAAATAGTATATAAAACTGTACTTCTTTATAAGCTTGCTTGGCATAAGACACAGTTTATTTAAGACTTCCTGAATCTACCCACCTGCCTTTATGTCTGATCCCCTGACTTTTCTTCCTCTGCAGCTCTCTGCCACTGAAGAATGACCTGCTGGTCCAGGTGAGTGACCCACTAAGATTAACCAAGGCTGTGTGACCTTAGATGGGAGCCTAGTCAGTTACTGAATCTCTCTCTCTCTCTCTCTCTCTCTCTCTCTCCCTCCCTCCCTTCCTCCCTCCCTTCCCCCCCCTCCCTCCCTTCCTCCCCCCCTCTCCTCTGTGAATTTATCAATAGCCGGTAATGCAGCAGAAGGAGGCAAAGGCTCGTGAGTGCCTTCTCCATCCTTGGCTGATTTTGGACAAGGTCAGTCTTGAGCTGGCAGTTGTGAGTTGTTGGTTGCAATAGTTGTCTTGAGTCTAGAGGACGGTATTTTGCATCCGTTTGCCTTGTCTTCCAGCTCTTGTGCACTTTCTGCCTCTTCTTCCAAAATGTTCCCTGACATCTAGAGAAGGTAGTCTAAGGGTCTTGTTTAGGGTTAACCCCTAATAGCTGATTATTCTCAGCATTGGGCAGACACAGGTCTCTGCATTCACCGCCATTAAAGGGTCCATAGTGGTCTTAGCCTCCTTTTGATTCCACTTCAACAACTAGTGACTGCTCCAATATGGGACTCCAATTTTCTGTATCAGATATCTTTAATCATTCTCCTCCTATTATTTTCTCTTTCTCACTCCTTCTCTTCTCTTTCCCTCCCATTTCTTCTCATCCATCTTCTCCTGCCCCTCCTTTCTCTTTCTCTTAGAGGCAGGATCTCATGTGTACTAGGCTGATCTCAAATTCGCTATGAAGTTGAGAATGCCTTGAATTCCTGATCCTCATACCTCCACTTCTGGAGTGCTGGAATTACAAGCACGCGTCGATCATGCCCAGTTTAGGTGGTGATGATGGGAGCCAAATCCAGGGTAAGCATTCCACGAACTAAGCCACCTTCCAAGTCCCTCAAGGTTTTATTTCTCCCTCATTCTTTTCTTTTAAAAAACTCACTTTATTATTTTTATTTTATTTATATGACTGTATTACCTACATACATACATACATATATATCACACTGGATTCCTGGAACTGGGGTTACAGATGACTTGTGAGATGCTATGTAGTTGCTGTGAACGGAAACTCTTCCTTTGGGACAGCAGTCAGTGCTCTTAACAGATGAGCCATCCTTCCAGTCCCTCACCCCACTCTTTACTTAAACCTACCCTTGTTTCCATTGCTCCATTAAAATGTTACCAATGACTAAATTAGTGGTCAATTCCCAGTTCTTTTTTTTTTTGTTGTTGTTGTTGTTTGTTTTTGTTTTTCAAGACAGGGTTTCTCTGTGTGGCCCTGGCTGTCCAGGAACTCCCTCTATAAACCTAGCTGGCCTCGAACTCACAGAGATTGAACTCAAAGAGCTCCTCCACCTGCCTCTGCCTCCTGAGTGCTGGGGTTAAAGGCATGCACCACCACCACCAGGCCAGTTCCCAGTTCTTAATAATAGTATTTGTTCATCTAGAATTGCCATCTCCCTCCTACTTGATCCGGAAATACTGTTATCTCTCTCTCTCTTTCTCTCTTTCTCTCTCTATTTCTCTCCCCAAACCCCGCCCTCTCAGAGAATCTCCATTAAAGAAAAGGTGCTAAAAAGTCCAGTTCTGCATTCTTGGCACTTCTGGCTGGTGTGGGATGATCTTTCTGTACACTGTGAATATGTGTTATTCCTCTTACTGGTTAATAATAAAGGCTATTTGACCCATAGCCGGCAGGATAAGGTTAGGTGGCACAATCAAACTGAGAACTCACATGAAGAAGGGTGGAGTTGAGGGAGATGCCAACCAGCCCCTGAACAAACAGGACAGTATAGAAAATGAGGTAGCAAGCCTTGAGCCACATGAAAAAGCATATACAGAAATATGGGTTAGTTTAAATGTAAGGGTTAGCTAGTAATAAGCCTGAGCTATTGACCAACCATTAATACTATTTATATAAGCCTCTGAGTGATTATTTGGAAGCAGCCACATGACAGAGCAGGACAGAGAAACCTCCATTTACATGTGGCAGCTCCTCACCTGAAATTGCAAGTAGCCCACACGCCCAACTAAGCATTCCAACTTTTGACCATACTTGGGCACAAACCCAGCTTGGGTGGACATGTCATCAGGCCTCACCTACAGGCTATACAAGCTCCCTGCTTTAGTTCAGCTGTGTGACTCCTCCTGCCTTGGTCTCTCGGACTGGAGAACTCACCCGGGAGTTGTTTTGTTTAAAAACAAAAAACAAAAAAAAACTTATTTTCTCAGTTCGGCTTGATTTGGCTTACTATGTTGGTGGAGAAACCTATTATTGAGATACCAAAAACCTACTAGTACTCGCTCTTCAGAGACACTAGCTTAATCTGGCTTTCAAGGCTCCTCATTTCTTCACTGGCTGCTCCTTCCTAGGCTCTGTTCCTGGCTCATCCATGTCTCCCCGAATTTGCATTATACCCAGGGCTTCATCCTTGATTCTCTTCTATTTACATTCCCCTCATTTACAAACGTAGTCAGTTTGTAAAACCTGACTTTAATGCCGTCTAAAAATGCTTAAAATTCTTGTGCCTCTCTAGTATGGAATGTTTTCCTTTATCCCATACTGATATACATAACCACCTACTCTACACTGCCACTTGACAGCTAGGTATGTGTGTACACAGCTGTAATCACAGCATTGGGAGCAGAGGCAGGAGGATCAGGGGTTCAAGGCCAGCCTGGACTATATGAACTTAGTCCAAAAATAAAAAAAAGTCAGACTGAAACCCCAAACAGACTCCACTTGAATTTAAAATACATAGCTCATATGCAAAATGGAACTCTTGATCTTTTCCTTCTAGTTAACTCTATCTGTGGTCTTCTCCACCCCTCCCTACCCCTGTACCCTTACCAGCACCCCCCCCTTAGACATGGTCTATGTAGCACTGGCGTATTGAACCAGCTATGCAAACCAGGCAGGTCTTGAACTCACACAGATATGCCTTCCTCTACCTCACTACTATATCTGGCCTTACCGCCTTTCTTCACCAATTGTTTTTATTTTATTTATTTATTTTGAGACAGGGTTTTGTGCAGCCCAGGCTGGCTGGGCTGAGGCTGGTCTTGATCCTCTTATACCTCCCAGGACTGTGATTACAAGCACAGGACACTAAACCTGGTTCTTAGCAGACTTCTCTACATTCAGTGTTTGTTATTTATTGCCTGTCTCCCCATCTCCAAAATGCAATAGCCATTAGGGTAGGGACTTTGCCTTCTTTGTCTTTCTGTATACACGGCAGAACAATCTGAACAGCGACTGGGCATTAAGGCAGTTATTTATTGAGGGTTTCCCGCTGTTTCAGAGGACCCAGCTTTGATTCACGGCACCCAAGTCACGCTCAACCCGCTCCAGGTGATCTGTCACCCTCGTTCGGCCTCCATGGGTGATCACACACATGTAACACACAAATATCACAAGTTTAAAATATTAAATAAAACCAGTAGGATTCATTTTTTTTTTTCCTTTTCTCCCCTTCTTCCCTCTTTCTCCTGTCGCTGCCTTGAGTAGCCCAGCTTGGACTTGAACACCTGATCCTGCTCCCATCTCCCTCGAGCTGGAATTGCAGGTACGAGTCATCTTTATCTTAGAAATTACTGGAGTCAGTGGATAATGTATGTATTTGCAAGCAACAAACACTACCCAGGTTAAAAACCTGTCTCCAGAAACTGGAAACACTAGAAACATAAAGCATAGCATATGAGGAAAAAAATAAAGTAGGAACTGCATCTTCTTGAGTTAAGTCACTCAGATCAACTGCAGTACTCCTTCTAGGGTGGCTCTTTTTCCCTTATTTGGCCATTGGTGTCAAAGAAGGGCGCCACGCCCTGCGTTGTGTAGTTTTAATTGAGTCGCTCTGCCACGTCCCTGGAGGGCTCCTGCCCTCGGAACTGTATTTCAATTCGCCATTTATTTTTTTAACTTTTAAAATCAGTGGTAGAGGCCAGGAAAACTCGGAAGCTGTTTGTAAACAATGCAAATTTAAACAGTCGAAATTGTAAAAAAGGAAAAAAAGTTGAAGGTATGCAGAGCGGCGAAGTGGCTGGAAGGTCACGCAGAGCTGAGCGGGAAGGAGCCCCGTCCTTCCGCAGACACTGGTGGCGGCGTCTCCGGGGCCGTGGGCGCCTCCTTTCCCTGCAGCGGGACGGTAAACGTGTCCCCTAAGAAGCAGCTCCAAGCGTCCTCGGAATTTCAGTGCCACCCGATACAGAGTCCAGAGGGAGCGCGGATCTCAGGGCTCAGCACCGGGAGCTGCGAGCCCAGGCCCTGCAAAGGGGCTCCGCGCACCCCCGCGCCGCTCGCGCCCCTCCCCCGTCCGCGCCTCCCCTTTAAGCGCAGGGGCGCGGGCGGATTTGTGTCGGCGGAGCCGCGGCCGGGGGTGGGGGCGGGGCTGTGCGCGCCGAGCGGGCCTCCTCCGCCGCCCTCCTCCGCCCTCCGCAGCGCCTCGCGGCCCCGGGAGCGCGCGCCGGGGGCGGGCCGTGGGCGGGCCGGGAGGCCGGCGGGGCAGGGGCGGGGAGGCCGGCGGGCGGGCGGCGGCGCTCGGGTCCGCCTCCGACTGCGGCGCGGCGGGGCGATGTGAGTGCCATGGCGAGGAGTCTCTGCGCGGGGACCTGGCTGAGGAAACCCCATTACCTCCAGGTAGGCTGGCCGCGGCCCCGCCACGCGCCCTCCTCGGTCCCGCTTCGCCCCGTGTCCCGATCCTCACCCCCGCCTTCCTCGGGCGCCGCCCCTGCTCTGCGCCCCTCCGAGTCCCGGCTCGGGTCCCTCTGCGTGCTCCACCTTTGCTCGTGGGGCGGCCCCCCAGCCCTGCCATCCCCGACTCCGTGTCTCGAGTAGCAAAATGTGGTGTGTCATTCCTCCATATTTCAGAGAATCGTGCGTAACCAGTCGTTATGCCAGTGGGTCCCCGAGTCCCCGGCAGCGGCTGCGCCTCGGTGCAGAGCTCCTGGGATTGCTCTTCCCACCCCAACGCTGGTTTAAATGGGAGGGAGGGAGGGATCGGCAAGCCGGATCGAGGCGGTGGGTATTCGCGTTGGTAAACGGAAAGGGGATCGTGACTGCCATGCGGCTCTCCAGTCAGCTCCCCGGCCGTGCGAGCGCCGTTTTCAGTCACGTCGTGTGTGCTGTTGGCGTGTTAATTTTTCATGATTTTTTTCTGTTCCGCTGCCCGCCGTCTTTAGAACCCTACTGCTGCCTTCGTGCTCTGTTTGGTCACCAGGGGGACCTAGTAGACGTCGTGAGTAGTTGATCTCAAAATCCATCACTCCGATGGAAAAACAGCTACAAATCAATGCCTCCCACATTGTCAGCAGTGTTAGGTATTTCTGCAGGACGCTGCTTGCAGTAAGAGGCCTGAAGGTGTGGGAAAGGTATTTTGGGTCAGCTGGTGGTGCGTCTTTCAAGTATGGAAAAAAAAAAGAGTTGAGAAGGAACCATCGCAGTCCAAGTAGATCTTACGTTTTTATTTGACGTAAGTCATTACTCTGAAATGAGTGACGTGCTGCAGATTGAAAAGACGATTTGACAGTTTACGGCATTAAGGACATAAGACCGAATGTTCTATTTGCAGCAGCACCGCCGGAAGTAGTTGTGCACTGAGCACCCGTATTAGAACCCAGTTTAGAATTCCACCCTTGCCAGGTGACCATTTATTGTTAAACTGTTTTGGCATATTTAAAATCTTTTATCTTAAACTAAGTAGCTTTCAACTGGGCGGTGCTGATGCATGCCTTTAATCCCAGCACTTAGAGAGGCAGAGGCAAGTGGAATTCGAGGCCATCCTGGTCTACAGAGCAAGTTCCAGGACAGCCAGGGCTACACAGAGAAACCCTGTCTCCAAAAACAAAAACAAAACAAAAAACAAAAAAGCAAAAACAAAACAAACAGAAAAACCACCTAGCTTTCTATTATTAGGTTTTTGGGGTTTGCTAGAGTTTTAGACTTTGTTTTTACTCTGAATGCTTTCCACAGATGTGAACACAAACACTCCTTGACACCGTAACATGCGGATTTTCTGATTTGGTTGAGGCTCAGAGGCACCTAGGTCCAATTCTCAGCGCCACACATTCACACACACACACCATACACACCAACCATACACCACACACCCCCACACCCACACACTCACACACACACACACACCACACACACACCACACACACACACACACTCACACACACCACACACACACCACACACACACACCACACACACCACACACACCACACACACACACACCACACACACACACCACACACACACACACCACCCATACACCACACACACACACTCACACACACACACACCACACACACACCACACACACACCACACACACACACACACACCACACACACACACCACACACACACACCACACACACACACACCACCCATACACCACACACACACACACCACACACACACACACCACCCATACACCACACACACACACCACACACACACACACACACCACCCATACACCACACACACACACCACACACACACACCACACACACACACACACACCACCCATACACCACACACACACACACACACACCACACACACACCACCCATACACCACACACACACCACACACACCACACACACACCACCCATACACCACACACACACACTCACACACACACACACCACACACACACCACCCATACACCACACACACCACACACACACACACCACACACACACACTCACACACACACCACACACACACCACACACACCACACACACACCACACACATACACCATACACACCACCCATACACCACACACACCACACACACACACACACTCACACACACACCACACACACACCACACACACACCACACACACCACACATACACACCACACACACACACTCACACACCACACACACACCACACACACCACACACACACACCACACACACCACACACACACACTCACACACACTCACACACCACACACACACCACACACACACACACACACACACACCACACACACACACACCACCCATACACCACACACACACACCACACACACACACACACACCACCCATACACCACACACACACACCACACACACACACCACACACACACACACACACCACACACACCACACACACACACACCACACACACACACACATACACACACACAAGTTTTAAAAATAGTTATGCCTTCCATTAATGAAAGAGTTTCTAGCATCGTTGTCAGTTATCAAATTAGGGTAAGCTCGTGAGCGGGCCTTAAATACCAGCACTTGGGAGGCAGATCTCTGAGTTCTAGGCCAGCCTGGTCTACATAGCAAGTTCTAGGCTAGCCAATGAGAGAGAAAGAGAGACCTTGTCTCAAAAAAAATTAAGTTAAACTCAAGATTTCTTTTTAAAGACAAATTCTCATGTAGCTGAGATTGACTTAGAACTTGGCAGGTAGCCAAGGTTGACCTTGAATGTCTGATCCTCCTGCTCCATTACACTTTGTGTGACTACAAGAATGTAGCAGTCTGGGGGAGAAGGGTGGGAGGAGGGGGAGGGAAATGGGAGGCTGGGAGGAGGTGGAAACTTGTTTTTTGTTTATGTTTTTTTTCTTCTTTTCTTAATAAAAAAATTATTAAAAAAAAAAAAAAAAAGAATGTAGCAGTCATAACCTGAGGGACCACCTTCCTGGCTTTTTGTTTTGTTTTCCCAGAGGGTTTCTCTGTGTGTCTCTGGCTGTCTTGGAACTCGCTCTGTAGACCAGGCTGGCCTCAAACTCCTATCTGCTTGCCTCTGCCTCCCCAGACTGGAGGCTTGCTGTGTGCTCCACTGCCTGGCCACCTCCTTGTGTTTTTGATACAGTCTCTCTGGTAGAACTCTCCAAATAGGCTAGGCTGGCTGACTGGCTGGTCAGTGAGCCTAGGGATCCTCCTGTCTCCATCTAACCAGCCCTGGGATTACAAGGGTGCAGGTGCTGGGGACCAAGTTCAGTTCCTCATGTTTGAGCAGCAAGGCCTTTACAGTCAGAGGTAGCTCCATAACCTCAGTTTCTTCTCTTTTTCCTCTACTTCTTCTAAATCTCACATTATCCCTAGCAGTGTATAACTGGATTTGATTTGTCACGGAGAGGGTTTATTGTGCACTCTCTTTTGTCTGTTTGGTTTTTGAGACAGGGTTTCTCTGTAACAGCCCTGCCTGTCCTGGAACTTGCTTCGTAGACAGCACTGGCCTCTGACTCACAGAGAGCCGCCTGCCTCTGCCTCCCAAGTGCTGGGATTAAAGACATGTGCCACCACACCCGGCTAGCAATTTTTCTTTAAAATTCATTTTTCACAATATATTTTGGTCATGTTTTTCCCCTTCCCCAATTCCTCCCAGATCCTCCCCATCTCTCTATCAACCCAACTTTATGTTCTTTCTCTTTCAAAAAAAAAAATCCTCGATGCACGTGCAAACCGGCCAGCATTATGGCGGCCACCCATCTCCTCGGGGCTTCCCAGATGTGGGCCGGCTGTCGGCTCCGGGCTCTCCCGGTCCCCGGAGGACCTGGAACGCTCTCCGTCCGGGACTACGCCAAGAAGCCAGTCATGAAGGGCAGCAAAGGTGCCAAGGGCAGCGTGGCCACTGAGGCCCTGAAGGACCCTGAGGTGTGCACAGACCCCGCCCTGCTGACCACACACGCCATGGGGGTGAACATCTACAAGGAAGGCCAGGACGTGGCCCTGAAGCCAGACTCCGAGTACCCCGAGTGGCTCTTCCAGATGAACTTGGGTCCCCCCAAAAAGCTGGAGGAGCTGGAACCTGAGTCCCGTGAGTACTGGCGACTGCTGCGTAAACAGAACATCTGGCGTCACAACCGGCTAAGCAAGAACAAGAAGCTGTAGCTTGAGGATGGAGCATCTCACAGGAAGCTGCCCGGCCCAGGCCAGCGAGAGGGCTCAGCGGGGAGCAGTGCTCACTGCCCCACGTGAAGACCCGAGTTCAATCCCCAGAACTCACATGGTGGAAGGGACAGAACTGATTCCTGCAAATTCTCCCACCTCTGCTTGTGCGCTTGGCAGCGCAGGCCAAATGCACACAGACAGACAGACAGACACACAAACACACACACACACCAATAAACAGGTATGGAAACAAAAAAAAAAATCCTCAAAACAAAAAACTATTAAGACAAAAATGACAAAACAAAGCAAAATGAAGACGTTTATTTTCATTTATATGTATAAATGTCTTGCCGGCAGTGTGTGTGCCTGGTGCCTGTGGAGGATCAAGGAGGCGTCATAGCCACTGGAACTGGAGTTATGGGGAGTTGTGAGCCAATATGAGGGTTCTGGGAACTAATCCTGGGTCCTTTGTGCAAGAGCAGCAAGTGATTTTACCTGCTGAGCCACGTCTCCAGCCCTTTCCCCATAATTTAGGAGGGGAAACTTAATCATTTGACTTATCAAAGAGCTTCACGCACAGAATTTCCATTAGCCCTGATGTCACTGTGGTAGTTGTGGCCTCCTCTGGAAAATTCATCATCTTGAGCTAGTTAAAAACAAAACAGTAGTTAAATTTCCTACCTTCCCCCCAAAGCTTAGTATTTTGCAATTAATGTTATAGTTTCTGCAGAGGTTACACTGTAACAGGAGTCTGACTACCAGCTAGGGTGTT